GGTCTCTCTCTCTGCTCTCTCTCTGGTCTCTCTCTGGTCTCTCTCTGGTCTCTCTCTGGTCTCTCTCTGGTCTCTCTCTCTGCTCTCTCTCTGGTCTCTCTCTGGTCTCTCTCTCTGCTCTCTCTCTGGTCTCTCTCTCTGGCCTCTCTCTGGTCTCTCTCTGGCCTCTCTCTGGTCTCTCTCTGGTCTCTCTCTGGCCTCTCTCTGGTCGCTCTCTCTCTGGTCTCTCTCTGGTCTCTCTCTGGTCTCTCTCTGGTCTCTCTCCGGCCTCTCTCTGGCCTCTCTCTGGTCTCTCTCTGGCCTCTCTCTGGCCTCTCTCTGGTCTCTCTCTCTGGTCTCTCTCTGGTCTCTCTGGTCTCTCTCTGGTCTCTTTCTCTGCTCTCTCTCTGGTCTCTCTCTGGTCTCTCTCTGGTCTCTCTCTGGTCTCTCTCTGGTCTCTCTCTCTGGTCTCTCTCTGGTCTCTCTCTGGTCTCTCTCTGGTCTCTCTCTGGTCTCTCTTTCTGCTCTCTCTCTGGTCTCTCTCTGGTCTCTCTCTCTGGTCTCTCTCTGGTCTCTCTCTCTGGTCTCTCTCTCTGCTCTCTCTCTGGCCTCTCTCTGGTCTCTCTCTCTGGTCTCTCTCTGGTCTCTCTGGTCTCTCTCTGGTCTCTTTCTCTGCTCTCTCTCTGGTCTCTCTCTGGTCTCTCTCTGGTCTCTCTCTCTGGTCTCTCTCTGGTCTCTCTCTGGTCTCTCTCTGGTCTCTCTCTGGTCTCTCTCTGGTCTCTCTCTGGTCTCTCTCTGGTCTCTCTCTGGTCTCTCTCTGGTCTCTCTCTGGTCTCTCTCCGGCGCCTTAAATACGTCCATAACGACAGACTTTACTCTTTTCTCTCATGTTTTTCTAACGGTTTAATCCCTATTTTGCCGAATATACCTGTGTCTTTTATTCTACATAGTGCATCCTCGACATTTATCCTTCCTTCTTTCCCGATTCATCTCCAAATAACAAAAAACCGGATAATGAAAGGGTTGAGCAGATGGCAGCTTCCAAGTGGCTCCGTGGCCCTTGAGCTGCATTGAACAGGTAAAAGGGCCCATCTCAGCCCGGAGTGGAGAGTACATAAAGGCGTGTGTGAGTGTGTGTGTTTGTGTATCTGTGTCTGTGTGTGTGTGTGTGTCTGTGTGTGTGTGTGTGTCTGTGTGTGTGTGTGTCTGTGTGTCTCTGTGTGTCTCTGTGTGTCTCTGTGTGTCTCTGTGTGTCTCTGTGTGTGTCTGTGTGTCTCTGTGTGTCTCTGTGTGTCTCTGTGTGTGTCTGTGTGTGTCTGTGTGTGTCTGTGTCTCTGGACGGTTTTAATTGGTCTCAAACTGCAGCGCTCACAAACCGCCACAGGGGGCAGACGTCCTCTGCCTCCTGCCGAGTCCAGAGCTGGGACTGGGGCCAGAGGAGACTGAGGTGAGAACTGTTTGGGTAAATTACCAAATGATTCATCTTTAAAACAAAACAAAAAAGAAAAAGAAGAAGAATTTATGATTTAAAGCTGGGGGACGTAACTTCAGCCTCATAAATAACACATGTAGTTTGTCCAACAGAAAGAGGACAAACCAGAACAAGCTGTGTCTTATTGGAAAATATGTTATTTCATTTGTGAAAAAGATCCCTGTGAGGCATTATTTGACCCTTTGAGCTGAGAGCTGATTGGCTGAGTGAGGGTGGTCCTCTCTTTTTCACACTTTTCTGTCTGAAAAAGCTGATCTAAAAAGTGTTTATGTCTGTGTCTAGGTGTGTGTGTCTATGTGTGTGTGTGTGTGTGTGTTTACCTGCGTACTGTGCGTAGCAGTGTCGAGCGTGCCTCGTTGTGGAAGGTGATGATGATGGAGGTGGGAGGAAGATCTGAGTCGTAGCGAAGAGCAGAACATCTGCAGAAACACAAACGCATGAAGTCAGACTCTGATCTTTGTAAATCCAGATATGAGTCATGTAAGGATTGACCAATCAGAGGCCTGCATTCTGGGGGAAACTCCAGCTTCTCTTAGCAACACGTCTGCTCCTGCTAACGCCGTCAGAACAAATGCCCAAATAAGGAAATGGCTCCAGCCAATGTTCAGATCAACTTCTTATGCATTAATTCTAACACTGTGGTGATGTCACACTGTGGTGATGTCACACTGTGGTGATGTCACACTGTGGTGATGTCACACGGTGGTGATGTCACACTGTGGTGATGTCACACGGTGGTGATGTCACACTGTGGTGATGTCACACTGTGGTGATGTCACACGGTGGTGATGTCACACTGTGGTGATGTCACACTGTGGTGATGTCACACGGTGGTGATGTCACACTGTGGTGATGTCACACTGTTGTGATGTCACACCGTGGTGATGTACACACACACACACACACAAGGGATAATCTATGTTAGTCCCAAAGTCCATTACAAGGAACATATTGTTTATTGTGATGTTAAACCCTGAGGTGAAGCTTCCAGGTTCAGCTTCATGGTCTCAGTCTGTGCAATACCAACAAATATATTGCACAGTCCATCGGTGCAATGATACAAAATAATACACTTAAAAGACAACAGATAAAACATTAATTACACAATAAGCAGTAGTACATACAATGATAAAGTGCTAGTGCGGTGCAGATAAAGAAGTACATTGCACTTTCCTCAACAAAGTGCTTCCTATTTACGTTGGAAACAATAAAAGAATTGCACACGCCCAGTTATTGAAAAGGAGGCACACGCAGTGATAGATGCAGGACCAACAGAAAAAGCAGATATAATGATAGATAATAAAACATTTTCCCACAGAAGCTGTTTGTTGTGTTCAGCCGCACTACAGCGGTGCTGTAATGAGCGGTTGTGCGCTGAAGTTTGTTGATACAATAATGGCGTCTCTTTTGTGGGAGAGTGTCACTCGTGCTGCTGCCGGGTTAATGTGGCGTCTGAGCGCTTAATTACAGAGGAGCTTCAGCTCCAGCCGCCAATCAGTGAGAGACCGCTAAGAGGGCAAGGGAAAGGGAGGCCGCGAGGATGGGAGGCCGAGAGGATGGGAGGCCGAGAGGATGGGAGGCCGCTAAGAGGGCGAGGGATGGGAGGCCATGAGGATGGGAGACCGCTAAGAGGGCGAGGGGAAGGGAGGCCACGAGGATGGGAGACTGTGATGATGAGACTCATGTGTAAACACCGCAAACAGCCTCCGCTCCAAAAACTGTACAGAAATCATTAACAACAATATCGTTAACAGCTTATTCAAGCATGGTTTCTGTTTTTGTGTCAATTTAATCTATACCGGGTCTAAAGCTGGACTAAAGCAAGAATGAACCAGGACTAAACTAGGTCTAAAGCAGGAGTAAAGCTGGACTAACACAGGCCTAGAGTAGATCTAAACTAGGAATAAACCTGGTCTAAATCGTGTCTAAATCGTGTCTACCCCAGGACTAAGCCTGGCCTAAACCAGTCCTCTCAGCCCGTTTGCAAAGTGCAGCTGCAGCGGTCTCTGGGACTAATGGAGTGAGGAGTGTATTTCACAGCTCAGCGCAGGGAGCTAGCGCTGACCTGCTAACAGCTAAAGCAGCATTCCATTAAAACAGCAACAATTACAGCTAACGAGCAGGAGCAGAGAGCTTCCAACCATCACCGCACAAGAGTCAAGGACACTCCTCTGTGTGTGAATAAACGTTATGAATATTAGCAATAATATCTTCCTACACAGAGCAGTGTTTGAGATGAAGAGAAACATGTTTGATAAATAACATGTTTGTGCCACAGAAAGAGTCTTGAAACAAAATGTTGTGATCAGACCACAAAAAGATTCCGGCAGCTCTGTGAGTCACTATTTGACTCTTTGGGCTGAGAGCTGAGTTAAGTTTTTTACTTTTCTGTCTGAAAAAGCTGATCTAAAGATGTGACAGAGGCCAAACATACATGATGTTAAAAAGTAGTGATACAAGTGGTCTCTCTCTGGTCTCACTATCTGGTCTCACTCTCTGGTCTCACTCTCTGGTCTCACTCTCTGGTCTCACTCTCTGGTCTCACTCTCTGGTCTCACTCTCTGGTCTCACTCTCTGGTCTCACTCTCTGGTCTCACTCTCCCTCTGGTCTCCCTCTGGTCTCCCTCTGGTCTCCCTCTGGTCACTCACTCTGGACACTCACTCTGGTCACTCACTCTGGTCTCACTCTGGTCTCACTCTGGTCTCACTCTGGTCTCTCTCTGGTCTCACTCTGGTCTCACTCTGGTCTCACTCTGGTCTCACTCTGGTCTCACTCTGGTCTCACTCTCTGGTCTCACTCTCTGGTCTCACTCTCTGGTCTCACTCTCTGGTCTCACTCTCTGGTCTCTCTCTGGGTTCTCTTCTTCACTTTTCTGTCTGAAGGCAAAAAATACATGCATAGGAAAACTAGTGATAGAAGAAACTGTTTCAAAGCCAGAAACCAGAGACATGGATTTTTATCACAAAGTTCTATTGTTGTGTCTGAAAGTTACACACCACAGCTTTAACAGTCGTTAAGTGTTTTTGCAGCGTTTTCGCCTTCTTCTCTTCAACAAGACTACAACAAAGATCAGAACCACATCCGAAAGCAGGAAACGAGGAAAAGAGAGGGAGAGAAAGGGCAAGAAGGGAGAGGAGAAAGGAGAGGAGAGGAGAGAGGAGAGAGAGAGGGGGAGAGTGGAGAGAAGAGAAGAGAGGGGTGAGGAGAGAAGAGAGAGTAAGTAAGTAAGTAAGTAAGCTTTATTTATATACCGCCTTTCACAGACCAGAGTCACAAAGCGGTTTACAATTGTTATTTTTTTTTTGGGCACTTGTCCTCTCACTCCACACAGAGATGGGAGCGGGGTCGCCGAACAGGAGGCGCATGCCAGACCTATTGTACATATTTTTAGTGGTAGGGGAAACCGGAGTACCCGGAGGAAACCTACGCAGACACGGGGAGAACATGCAAACTCCACTCAGAAAGGCCCTGGTCCGGCCGAGATTCGAACCCAAGACCTTCTTGCTGAGTGGCGAGAGTGCTATCCACTCAGCCACCGTGCCGCCCCGGGGAGAGTGGAGAGAGGGGTGAGGAGAGAAGAGAGAGGGGGAGAGTGGAGAGAGGGGTGAGGAGAGAAGAGAGAGGGGGAGAGTGGAGAGAGGGGTGAGGAGAGAAGAGAGAGAGGAGAGAGAGGGGGAGAGTGGAGAGAAGAGAGGAGAGAGAGAAGAGAGGGGTGAGGAAAGAAGAGAGAGGGGAAGAGTGGAGAGAGGGGTGAGGAGAGAAGAGGGAGGGGGAGAGTGGAGAGAGGGGTGAGGAGAGAAGAGAGAGAGGAGAGAGAGAAGAGAGAGGGGGAGAGTGGAGAGAGGAGAGGAGAGAGAGAAGAGAGGGGTGAGGAGAGAAGAGGGAGGGGTGAGGAGAGAAGAGGGAGAAAACAGGACGGACGCAGCAGGACGTCAGAGCGGTTTTATCAGCGAGAACATCACTCATGTGTCAGCAACAGAGTTATCAGGGGATCAGGTACAGAGGTCCCAAAAGCAGGTCTAAAACTGAGACTAAAACAGGTCTAAAATAAAGACTAAACTAGGTGTAAAACAGGTCTAAAACAGAGACTAAACCAGGTCTAAAACCGGTCTAAAACAGGTCTAAAACAGAGAGTAAACCAGGTCTAAAACCGGTCTAAAACAGGTCTAAAACAGAGACTAAACCAGGTCTAAACCAGGTCTAAATTGTGACTAAACCAGGTCTAGATTGTGACTAAACCAGGTCTAAATTGTGACTAAAGCAGAACAAAAGCAGGTCTAAAAAAGGTCTAAAGCAGGTCTAGAGCAGGTTTAAAACTGGACTAAAGCAAGACTAAAGCAGGACTAAAGCAGGTCTAAAGCAGGTTTAAAGCAGGACTAAAGCAGGTCTAAAGCAGGTCTAAAGCAGGACTAAAGCAGGACTAAAGCAGGACTAAAGCAGCCCTTACACTACATTACAGCTGCTCTTGTTTCTGCTCTATTGTCTGCAGTGAGCTCTGGGAATTCACCACAGCACTGTATTTATCATATCGCCCAGAATGCACCATTGTCCCCCCCCCCCCCAACCCTCTCTCTCTCACACACACACACAAACGCACACACCCTGGCGGCATCCGGATTCATAACAAAACACCTCTTTTCTCATCCTTGCCTCTCCTTTTTAATAACTGTTATTCGAGCTGCTTTGGTCCTGCTGTAGACCTGCTTAAGTCCCAATTTAGTCCTGCTTTAGACCTGCTTTAGACCTGCGTTAGACCTGCTTTAGACCTGCTTTAGTCCTGCTTTAGTCCTGCTTTAGTCCTGCTTTAGTCCTGCTTTAGACCTGCTTTAGACCTGCTTTAGACCTGCTTTAGACCTGCTTTAGTCCTGCTTTAGACCTGCTTAAGACCTGCTTAAGACGTGCTTTAGTCCTGTTTTAGTCCTGCTTTAGTCCTGCTTTAGTCCTGCTTTAGTCCTGCTTTAGTCCTGCTTTAGTCCTGCTTTAGTCCTGCTTTAGTCCTGCTTTAGACCTGCGTTAGACCTGCGTTAGACCTGCGTTAGACCTGCTTTAGACCTGCTTTAGACCTGCTTTAGACCTACTTTAGACCTACTTTAGACCTGCTTTAGATCTGCTTTAGATCTGCTTTAGACCTGCTTTAGACCTGCTTAAGACCTGCTTTAGACGTGCTTTAGACCTGCTTTAGACCTGCTTTAGACCTGCTTTAGTCCTGCTTTAGTCCTGCTTTAGACCTGCTTAAGACCTGCTTAAGACCTGCTTTAGACCTGCTTTAAACCTGCTTTAGTCCTGTTTTAGTCCTGCTTTAGTCCTGCTTTAGTCCTGCTTTAGTCCTGCTTTAGTCCTGCTTTAGTCCTGCTTTAGTCCTGCTTTAGTCCACACACACAACAGAACCATGTCTCAAACACTCATAACAGATCTGTCCAAACAGTGAGCACTTCTCCTTGGCTGAGATAATCCACCCGACCTGGACACAATCACAGCCGGATCCGCTCTGCGTGAAGGCGCTGAACAAATACTTTGCTGAAGTCGTCAGTAAACGCTCCTTTCAAAAGCAGCTACAGTGACTGCAGCCCGGGTGGGTCTCCCCTGATTGAGAAACCTTCTTGCAGACGTGGGGAATTTGTACTTTTCCCATTGAGGACGAGAGAAGAGCTTTTGGGAAGTGGCTCAAAGGAAACAGCGGCGTCTGCAAAACTCGGAAGAGAAGTGAGCGCGGAGGGAGACGGGGACAAAGGACCGGACCAGGACTGAGGATCCCGAGTCTGGACCCAGGCCCGGAGTGTGGTCTGTGGTCGATCCCTTCACAAGGTCTTTGAATAAACATTTAACTTAGCGGAGCAGCAGTCTGGAGACGTCTTAAAGAGAGGAAACATCTGTGCTGAGAGAGGAAATGATATAATTAACCCTCTAATTCTCCTTTAAGATACTCAGAGCGGAGAGAGACCAGAGAGACTAGAGAGGGACCAGAGAGAGACCAGAGAGACTAGAGAGGGCCCAGAGAGAGACCAGAGAGAGAGACCAGAGAGAGAGCGGAGAGAGACCAGAGAGAGACCAGAGAGACTAGAGAGGGACCAGAGAGAGACCAGAGAGACAAGAGAGGGACCAGAGAGAGACCAGAGAGAGACCAGAGAGAGACCAGAGAGAGACCAGAGAGAGGGACCAGAGAGAGACCAAAACTACTGCTGCTGCTCCTGCTGCTGCTCCTGTTGCTGCTCCTGTTGCTGCTGCTGCTACTGCTGCTGCTGCTGCTGCTCCTGCTCCTGCTGCTGCTCCTGCTGCTGCTCCTGTTGCTGCTGCTGCTGCTGCTGCTGCTGCTGCTGCTCTTGCTACTGCTGCTGCTCCTGTTGCTGCTCCTGCTGCTGCTCCTGTTGCTGCTCCTGCTGCTGCTCCTGCTCCTGCTCCTGTTGCTGCTCCTGCTGCTGCTCCTGCTGCTGCTCCTGTTGCTGCTCCTGCTGCTGCTCCTGCTCCTGCTCCTGTTGCTGCTCCTGCTGCTGCTCCTGCTGCTGCTCCTGTTGCTGCTCCTGCTGCTGCTCCTGCTCCTGCTCCTGTTGCTGCTCCTGCTGCTGCTCCTGTTGCTGCTCCTGCTGCTGCTCCTGCTGCTGCTGCTCCTGTTGCTGCTCCTGCTGCTGCTCCTGCTCCTGCTGCTGCTCCTGCTGCTCCTGCTGCTGCTGCCTGAGCTCATTTCCTCGTTCTGACTTTGAAAAACATGAAGCTTCATCGACTCCGAGGACGAACGCACTGTAAACTTTCACAGATTCAAAGAGCATCAGCTTCACAGAAATCTTCCCAAAATATGTCTTAGATTATGTGAAGAAGTCACGAACTCTGCTTCACCAAAACCAGGACCAGGACCAGGACCAAGACCAGAACCAGAACCAGGACCAAGACCAGGACCAGGAGACTAAAGACCAAGAGGACGCCTTCTGGTCAGCATCTGCATTCCATCCATACTCTCTCTCTGGTCTCTCTCTCTGGTCTCTCTCTCTGGTCTCTCTCTCTGGTCTCTCTCTCTGGTCTCTCTCTGGTCTCTCTCTGGTCTCTCTCTGGTCTCTCTTTGGTCTCTTTCTAGTCTCTCTCTGGCCAAATGAGCAGAAACACTATAAATTCTCTGGGCCCACACTTCAGCTGTGACTTTCAGTTCCTCCAAAATAAACCTTTTCTCAGTTTTTTTGGATAAAAGGAAAGATCAGACTTTGTGATATAAAAATAAAGAAGCGAAGGGAAAGTTCACAATCTGTTAAATCCTGGCAGAGAACGTGCTGCGAAAACTCAACGCGATAATGAGAAACTCAAAATAAACCTCGGCTGCAGATTTGCCACCAGGAAAAGTCAAACGAAGAGACCACCACATTCTGTCTTCATCTGAGCCCCAAACATGTTGGAGCAAGTCTAAAGCAGGTCTAAAGCAGGTCTAAAGCAGGACTAAAGCAGGTCTAAAGCAGGCCTAAAACAGGTCTAAAGCAGGTCTAAAACAGGTCTAAAGCAGGTCTAAAGCAGGCCTACAGCAGGTCTAAAGCAGTCCTACAGCAGGTCTAAAGCAGGGCTAAAGCAGGTCTAAAGCAGGACTAAAGCAGGACTAAAGCAGGTCTAAAGCAGGTCTAAAGCAGGTCTAAAGCAGGACTAAAGCAGGTCTAAAGCAGGTCTAACACAGGTCTAAAGCAGGTTTAAAGCAGGCCTACAGCAGGCCTAAAGAAGTCCTACAGCAGGTCTAAAGCAGGGCTAAAGCAGGGCTAAACCAGGTGTAAAACAGGACTAAAGCAGGTCTACAGCAGGGCTAAACCAGGTGTAAAACAGGACTAAAGCAGGTCTAAAGCAGGGCTAAACCAGGTGTAAAACAGGTCTAAAGCAGGGCTAAACCAGGTGTAAAACAGGACTAAAGCAGGTCTACAGCAGAGGGGTGCAGATGTCCTGTTCTCAGCTCTTGTCCATGTCCTATAGTTTCCTCTTGTCTTTCTCAGCTGTCTTTCGTGTTGTTAATAAAGTTTGGAGGTGCTGAAGTAGGCCACGGTCAGGACCTCAGGCTCTCTGCTCCTCGGCCAAAGCTCTGCGTGAAGGATCCGCTTCGACGCGCTGCTATTTATACAAGATCTGCTCTAAACTGAAGCCAAGACCAAGGACTCCGGAGGATCTGAGAGTCACAGGGAGAGATGCTAGTCCTGCTTTAGTCCTGATTTAGTCTTGGTTTAGACCTGCTTTAGTCCTGCTTTAGTCCTGCTTTAGACTTCCTTTAGAACTGCTTTAAACCTGCTTTAGTCCTGCTTGAGTCCAGCAGGTCTAAACCGGCTTTAGACCTGCTTTAGACCTGCTTTAGTCCTGTTTTAGTCCTGCTTTTGACGTGCTTTAGTCCAGCTCTAGACTTCCTTTAGACTTGCTTTAGCCCTGCTTTAATATAGCTTTAGACCTGCTTTAGACCTGCTTTAGACCTCTGCTAGAACTGCTTTAGTTCTGGTTTATTCCTGCTTAATTCTTGGGTTTGACCTGGTTCAGAACTGCTGTTTTTATATTCAGATCAAATAAATATTCTAAATTGTCTTTGTTTAATAAAAAAACTATATATTTTCATGTCGTACGATAGTTCCAGCCTGGTGTGGCCAAATGTCTCATTATGAGATTTACGTTGTTCTGAATGTATGACACAGGGGGCGCTGTAGAGCTGCAGAGACACAGACAGGACAGAACTGACACATGTGATGGATGCTCGCCGTGAGACCAGCGCCTTTCCTTCAGCGGTGATGTGGTCTCACCGCCGGCGTGTGCCGCTGTAAACGGTGTAAACGAATAAATGCGTCTCAGATAATTACAGCATGTTACAGAGACGAAGCCTTCAGGTGTGAGTACAGCAGGGAACGGAGTCCGGCTTTAGTCCGGCTTTAGTCCTGCTTTAGACCTGCTTTAGACCTGCTTTAGATCTGCTTTAGATCTGCTTTAGTCCTGCTTTAGATCTGCTATAGATCTACTTTAGTCCTGTTTAGACCTGCTGTAGACCTGCTTTAATAATAATAATAATAATAATGCATCGGTTTTATATAGCGCTTTTCTGTACACTCAAAGACGCTTCACATGTGTCATTATTCATTCACTCCATACACGGTGGTGATGAACTACTACTGAAGCCACAGCTGCCCTGGGGCACACTGACAGAAGCGAGGCAACCAGTATGCGCCATCGGCCCCTCCGACCACCACCAACCATTCATACACACACCAGACGCATTCTAGGCAATGGGGGTGAAGTGTCTTGCCTAAGGACACAACGGCAGTTTGGCACTTTACAGCCGCAGCCCTGCTTTAGACCTGCTTTAGTTCTGCTATAGACCTACTTTAGTCCTGTTTAGACCTGCTGTAGACCTGCTTTAGACCTGCTTTAGTCCTGCTTTAGTACTGCTGTAGACCTGCTTTAGTCCTGCTTTAGTCCTGCTTTAGTACTGCTTTAGACCTGCTTTAGACCTGTTTTAGTCCTGCTTTAGACCTGCTATACCCTGCTTTAGACCTGCTTTAGTCCTGCTTTAGACCTGCTTTAGACCTGCTTTAGTCCTGTTTAGACCTGCTTTAGTCCTGTTTAGACCTGCTTTAGACCTGCTTCAGACCTGGTTGTGTCCAGCTTTAGTCCAGCTTTAGTCCTGCTTTAGTCCTGCTTTAGTCCTGCTTTAGTCCTGCTTTAGTCCTGCTTTAGACCTGCTTTAGACCTGCTTTAGTCCTGCTTTAGACCTGCTTTAGACCTGCTTTAGACCTGCTTTAGTCCTGCTTTAGTCCTGCTTTAGTCCTGCTTTAGTCCTGCTTTAGTCCTGCTTTAGTCCTGCTTTAGACCTGCTTTAGACCTGCTTTAGACCTGCTTTAGTCCTGCTTTAGACCTGCTTTAGACCTGCTTTAGACCTGCTTTAGTCCTGCTTTAGACCTGCTTTAGACCTGCTTTAGTCCTGCTTTAGACCTGTATTGTATTTCTTTTCCTAGTCTCACTTCTGGCCTGGGTTGAAACCAGGACACATAAACGTTGCGGTGGCCGTTGACCCGATCAGCGCAGCAACCTCCATAAACGCTCTGATTTGAACAGCTCCACAACAACAATACAAGTGTAATAATATAAGAGGGGGAGGGAGGGGGAGACAGGGGAGGGAGGGAGGGAGGGAGGACTGGGGAGGGGGGGCAGCCAGGCGAGAGCAGGGCATTGTGGGTAAGAGCGCAGTTAGTGATGACCCAGCAAACCGCACACATCTGGAGAGCACGGACCAAAGACACTGTGTCCCGCTCAAACTAATGACACGTTATAATGTTGTTTAAGGACTCTGCAGAATCTACCCTTTTTCTCTCCTTTAAAGAGACTGAACCTGAATTATACTGTTTTAAAATGTCTAAAATAAACTTGGAGAAAAACACAATCATATCGATATATTCTGTGAAATTGTCTTTTTTGAGTTTTTAACCACTTTTCAACAGTATTCCTCAAAAACGCAAAGAATAAGTTTGGGTCAAGAACAGAACCTTGAGGTACACCCGGTCCGTTAACAAACACATCTCTCTTTTTAGACCTGATTTAGTCCTGCTCTAGACCGGGTTTAGTTTTGCTTTAGTACTGCTTTACACCTGCTGAAGAGTCCTGGGTCCACAGCCTCAGTCCGGGATCTGCAACGTTATTTAGGGCGAAACACAAAAACATCAAATTGAATAAAAACATGTTTTTTTAGCTTACTTTCAGAGCAGCGCTTCTTGTCCTTGATACACGTTTTTCCACATATTTTGAACTTAACAAAACCACTAACATGTGCGATAATTGTCCTTCGGGAAAGGCGTACGCTCTCCACACTTTGCAAACCGCGACCTTGCAACCAAACCTTCATCTGTGTTTTCTGTTCTGTTGCTACGAGACAAATGGAGCGCTGTCAAACTGCTGCAAAGAAACACCACAGAGATTCAGAAAGAACTGGGAAAAGACTGAAAAGAGACGAGGGGAGAGAAGGTGGTAGTAGCAGCAGTAGCAGTAGCAGTAGCAGCAGCAGCAGCAGTAGCAATAGCAGCAGTAGCAGCAGTAGCAGCAGTAGCAGCAGTAGCAGCAGCAGCAGTAGCAGAAGTAGCAGCAGTAGCAGTAGCAGCAGCAGCAGTAGCAGCAGCAGCAGCAGCAGTAGCAGCAGTAGCAGTAGCAGCAGAAGTAGCAGTAGCAGCAGCAGCAGCAGCAGCAGCAGCAGTAGCAGCAGCAGTAGCAGCAGTAGCAGTAGCAGCAGAAGTAGCAGTAGCAGCAGCAGTAGCAGCAGTAGCAGTAGCAGCAGAAGTAGCAGTAGCAGCAGCAGTATCAGCAGCAGCAGTAGCAGTAGCAGCAGTAGCAGCAGCAGCAGTAGCAGTAGCAGCAGTAGCAGCAGCAGCAGCAGTAGAAGTAGCAGTAGCAGCAGTAGCAGCAGCAGCAGCAGCAGTAGCAGAAGTAGCAGCAGTAGCAGTAGCAGCAGCAGCAGTAGCAGCAGCAGCAGCAGCAGTAGCAGCAGTAGCAGTAGCAGCAGAAGTAGCAGTAGCAGCAGCAGCAGCAGCAGCAGCAGTAGCAGCAGCAGTAGCAGCAGTAGCAGTAGCAGCAGAAGTAGCAGTAGCAGCAGCAGTAGCAGCAGTAGCAGTAGCAGCAGAAGTAGCAGTAGCAGCAGCAGTATCAGCAGCAGCAGTAGCAGTAGCAGCAGTAGCAGCAGCAGCAGTAGCAGTAGCAGCAGTAGCAGCAGCAGCAGCAGTAGAAGTAGCAGTAGCAGCAGTAGCAGCAGCAGCAGCAGCAGTAGCAGCAGTAGTAGCAGTAGCAG